TCCTGGTGCTGCAGTGGTGGATTATAGACACGGCCTTACAGCATAACACTTCACATCCTGTATCTAAATCATTCTTGCCATCGCTGTGAGGTGTGATTCTTTTACCATGTACTACGTTGACATATGTATTTGGGACGTATTTGTGGACTTTCTCTTCTGTCCTATGATCTGTCTATTCTACCTGTACTGTGCTTTAACCACTCACAGGTTTTAATTATATTTTCACACCTGATGGCCTAGTCCTCTTCTTCGTCTTCTTTTTCAGACATTCCCTTGCCAGGTATGCTTGAAACTTTATTTTTTCCATGTGAACTTTGACTTTGGTGTCTCTATTCGGGGAAATAACCCCTATTTGGTATTTTAATTGGGGATAGCATTATATGACAACTAACTATAAGAGAGGTACTTAATATGATGACTAGTTTTCCTTCAAAAGGCTGCTATTTACTTTCTTTCATTGTTTGACTCTCTTGGCAGTTTCTCTTTTCCCCCCAGAAATGGGGATATTCAGGGTCTTGCGCATGCCAGGCAAGTGCTGAAATACATCCCTTCAGCTTGCTTTTTTGGATGGGTCTAGTATTTGGTTCAGGATGGCCTATTTATGCTATGTGGGCCCAGCTGTCTTGGATTGATCAGGCCCGCCTTTATCTCCCGGGTCATTTGTTTGATCTTTTGTGATCTTCAAGAATGGCCTTCCCGCCCTTTCTTAACAGCAAGGAATAAAGATATTACACGGACACAATCTTTTGTGTACTCTTCTCTTCTCGTTATTATTTTTCAAACAGATTGCTGTTTTGGATAGTAACAAATCCACTGATGTCTTTTTAATACTTTTATTTCTTCCTCCTCACTGAATTCTGTTATTGTTTATGGTAGATTATCACAGGGGTCTCTTGGCTTTCCAGGATTAATATATGATCTGACTGTAGTCAGTACCTTAACTTCTAACAGCATTTAAGACACTTTCCCTTTGTCGTCTGCTCTTCTAGAAAACTTGAAGATAATAATGTAATAATTGGTAGCCCCGGATTAATTAAATTATAGAACTATCTCTGGGGTTTCTCTGTTAAAAGGAAGGCTTGTAATTCTGGGGGTGAAGATAAAAATTATCTTTTTCGAGTTAAGGAAGAATTTCACTTGTATGTCTAAATTTTACATATTTAAAAAATCAAGTTTGGGTGTGTACGTTGTATCTCAAGCCCTTCCGAAAGCTGAGGTAGAGAGACTGCGGTATCAAGGCCAGTGAGGGCTTGTATTGTGACCCCTTCTTAAAAGAAAAAATCAAGCATGCTGTCAAATTTTGTCAATGCTTCTCGTACCTGAACAGTCATTTGAAATTCTATTTGCCTTCCTTGAATAATTCATTTGATTATCAACCCACTATTTTTCAAGGTTTGACTTTCTGTTGGAGAGGTGCTCAGATTTTTTAAACAAGGTCTAGGTATAGCAATGCATATGACCCCCAAAGACGATGACTATTGTGGACACAGCCATGATGCACTATGTCTTCCCTACGTTTGAGTTTCAGGAAATTCCTGGATGCTTTGGATTTGGAACAAGAAAAGACAGGATGATAAAAGCACCAGTAAAGGTGGGATTTGAAGAGTGGAACAGGAGAGAGCAGCTGCTGGGAAGAGATGCAAGAATATGAGAGGCTTGGAGAAAGTGACTCAATGGAGGCAGCGGGGGAATGTGGGGGAATTGCTCTACTCCCCTGGGCTCACTGCACCCCCAGGTCTCCGTTCCCCTTTCTGACCTGGCTCCGTACTTCCCGAGCCCCAACCACTTTTAATCCTTTCCTCCAAAGCACCCACTTGATTTTAAAGATTTAGTATTCTTGGCTGTAGCAAATTAACTGCACTTCGGGAACAATTAATTGTCTTGTCTTTTTAACAAAGACATTCACCGTTGCCAAGCAGCTCTGGACAGAAGGTGCCGCTCAGAATCATCACGCTGATTGATGTACTTTCAGCCAGTTAGCTTGAGGAGGCTCATCTTGGATAAGCGGTTCTGGAAGGTTCTTTGAAATCCTGTCATTAGTCTGCACAGATCTCTAAGGACATAGAGCCTCAGAGTGAGGCCTCAGATAGGCCCTGGAATCTCATTCTCATTCAAGATCTGAGCTGTGTGAAAAGGACTCATGATATAATCTAAATCATCTCTTAGTTTCTGTATAAGAGGTGACTTAATTATTATTATTATTATTTTTGGCAGTACTGAGGTTTGAACTCAGGGCCTTGTGCTTGCTAGGCAGGTGCTCTACCACTTTAGTCACCCCAAGCCCTTTTACTTTGGTTATTTTTGAGTAGGGTCTTGTTTTTATGCCCAGGCCAGTCTGGACCACCATCCTCCTATTTATGCTTCCTGCATAGCTAGGGTGACAGGTGCATGCCACCACACCCAGCTTTTATTGGTTGAGATGGAGTCTCTTAAACTTTTTGCCAGGGCTACCCTCAAGCCTCCATCCTCCCGATCTCTGCCTCCTGAGTAGTAGCAAGTATTACAAGTATTAGCCACTGCACCCAGCTCCAGTGATGTTTTTTTAAAGAATTATTTTCTCATGTGACTAATTCTCATTTTTGGACAGCAGGGAGTAAAGATGAGATGATTTGTAAAGATGGTGAGAATATCGCAAAAATAAGAGGCTTTTCAGCCATAAAACTGCCTCCTCTGCTGGAAGCAAGGTGTTGATTTCGAGTGCCATGCTCACCCAACCGAATGGCATTAGGAAGTCATGCCAAGCTCCTGCCTGCTGATGATTCAATCAGAATCTCTGGGGTTGGGATTTGAGCATCAGTCATTTTGCAAGGTGCCCAGGTGATTCCAATATTCAACCTGCACTCCAGGACCTCTGTACTACGTGGTCCTCAGACTGGCAGAATCGTATCTGCCATCGTGGTCGCCATGCAGACTCTCAGGCCCCACCTCAGGTCTTCTGAGGCAGAATCTGCATTTTAACAAGATCTCTGAGATACTTGTGTGCAGGAAAGTTGGAACTGCAGTTTCTTGGTGTGGCACCTGGACCACCTGCATCAGAGCCGTGAGGGAAGGAGAGAGTGAGGATGGGTATGAGTGTATGAGTGTGTGAGTGTGTGTGTGTGTGTGTGTGTGTGTGTGTGTGTGTGTGTGTGTGTCTCTCTTGGCCTCTGAATCTGCTTTCTGGAGGTAATGAGTCCATGGTTTGAGGGTGGGGCCCTGGAATCTGCATTTTAATGAACTTGCAGGTGATTCTAAGCCTGCCATGTGAGAACTGCTCCCAAAAGGAAATTCAGCAGTGTGACAGTTGCTTTCTCCTGGCCTCCTGGCAAGTCCCTCAGTTACTCAGAAAGGTCAAAACACATGCATGCATTGTGGCGCTTGCTTGCAAGCTCCAGGCCCTGAGTTCAATCCCCAGTACAGCCAAACACAAACATTGCCGGAGAGGTGAGAATCCACAAATACTCCCCACCCCCCTGCCTGGCAATTCCTGTGTTCCTGCCCTCTGAGTTGTAACAGCTGGTGGTGGCTCTGCCAGGTCACATAGAGTTAAATCTAGCTTTCAGCACGAGACAGAAATGACTCTCTCCACTCTTTGTGGTAGTGACTGAACAGGTTGCAATTTGAATACAAATGCCTCTACCTTAAAAGCAAATTAAAAATATAAAGTGTGGGTGCTTAGAGGGCATTTTTTCTCTTGGAGAGTAAAAAAAAATCCTTAATCCTTAAAATGCAGGACAGAGAGCCAAGAGAAGACAAGCGAATTTCCCAAATAGGTTTCTTCTTATTTTTGCTTGGGCTCAGATTTTTTGGGGGGAACTTGGCCTCACATTGGGCTTAGATTTTTCAATGTAAGAAAATGAAGCCAGAAATGAAAAAATGTGAACCCTCTCTACGATGTACTTGAAGTGTGTAGTACTTGTTTGTAATTTTAAAAAGCACTCAAGCTCATGTAAGATATTTGAAAGCTTCCATAAGGGATGCGTTAAGTAGATTTCTTTCTCTTCAGGTACCTAGGATTCCAAAGTATGGCTCACTGGATCTGCGGTGACAACTGAAAAATCTCTAATTATGAAGTGAAATAAGACCATAGCTATTGGAATGGATGAGATGGAACGGGAAACTGCAATGTGACCTAAATGTTCTTGTGAAAGAATTATTGACTTAAAATCAGCAAAAGCAAAGAAACTCAAAACTGGAAAAAAAGATTGAGAGTGTTATTTCAAGGTGGGGGGTGTAATGGGCTGTTTTGAAAATGTCATAAAAAGCAATGGATGGTCCTGCAGAAATACACACACACACACACACACACACACACACACACACACAGAGGCAATTTTAGAGTTCCATCCCCTTTCTAGAGCCTACGTAGAGAGCAATCTGCGGGCCCCATATTAAGAGCCTCAGCTTGACAGTGCGTTTTGTTTTTGTTTTTGTTTTTTTGAAGTTGCTTTGTATTAATTTCTCCTGTTTGGACCAGGAACAATTTTCTCAACATCTAGGTCTCAGATGGGAAATAAAGTGAGGGCTGGTTGTTTTCATTTAAACGAAGACAATTCTGTCTGCAAAGTTTGGGGATTTGGTGAGGACCAGGTGAAAAGCTGGGTCACTAGACTGTACCAAGGGAAGAATCCCTTCATTGAAGAAGCTTGCACTCTCTCAGAAAAGTCGCCTCCATCCTTTCAGAGGGCCCTTGCCACAGGGAGAGCCTGGAGGCCGCCGTGCCTCCGTTCCCAATAGGAGGCGAAAACTTTTGCCAAAAGCTGGGAAGGCAGTAGGCTCTTAAAGCTGCCCAGGTCCTCCATTTCCCTTCACACTCAACATATGCCACCCCGCCACTTCTCCGCCGCGGAAGAGGACGATCGCACCAAAGAGTTAAGACGCTGCCTGGCTGACCTCCCTAGCCACACCCCGCGCCAGGCTCTGCGCAGCTCAAGGGAGTTGCGGGCGGCGGGCGCCCTTTCCGGTCCCCTCCCACCGCCCAGCCCGGCGGGGGCGCCACGGGAGGCCAATCCCCCGCCTACCGGCACCATGGAGTAGGTCATCATCATCAGCATGTCCTGGCTCTCGGCGCGGATGTGCGGCGCGGGCTCCCGCCGTGGCTGCGCTTGTTGCGGGCGGCGCTCGCGGGGTCCGGCGGTGGCGCGGGCGCCCGGCGCGGCGCGCGGCTCAGCTCTGCCAGGAAGGCGCGCAGGGCGCTGTCCTCGCGCTGCTCCCGGCCGCGCTGCGCCTCCAGCGCCCGCAGCGCCGCGCTCAGTCCGCGCCACTGGCACAGAGCGAACACGGTGCCCGCGGCGTTGAGCGCCGAGAGCAAGGCCACGGCCGCCAGCGCGCCACGCAGCCCCCAGCCTGCGGCCCCGCGGCCTCGCTCGGCACCGCGGGCCATATCTGCGTGCTATGGCCGGGCAGGGCAGAGATGGGTAGGGCAGGGCAAGGCTCGCCCGCCTCTTGCAGGGCAGTCTTTATACGCCTAGCGCAAGCCGTGGGCTGCTGGCAGCTGTGTGAGTCACGCCGCCCTTTGGCACGTCTGGCGAGGCGGGTTGGGGACAGTAGTGGTGGCGCCCGAGCAGCCCAGAGGGACAGGCAGCCTGCGGAGGAGGGGCGGACAGGGCTCAAGCTCCCAGAACCCAGCCGGCCAAGCAAACCAATAAACCGGCCGCTCACTCTTTTCTCTGCTGCCCTGCCTGTGGGCACTGCCATGGTCCAGACAGCAGAGGAGGGTCAGACTGAGGGGGAGGTCAGGAATTCTTACGGCCTGAGAAAGCTCTAGATTCCACGCCCTTCTTCCCCACCCTCACCCCACCCCCGACACTGCGTACCCAGATGCCAAGGCCCGTGCCCACTGGTACTGGAGGTCTGCTGCTGCCCCTAGCCCCTGTCTGCCCATCACCCCTCCCCAAGGCACCATGGCCACTGAAGATCTTAAGATACATTTCCCAGAAAAGGGGATGAGGAGACAGTTGGCATTACAGCTAAAAAGAATCAGAAGAGCTCTGCCTGCCCTGCAAGCAGGGGTCATTCCAAAGGGACACTTCAGGATTGGACAAGCCAAGCTCTCCCTTGAGAACCATACTTGGGAGGCAGCAGGTTCTTTTGTGCTGATGGACTGGCCAGCCTGGTTAGAGTTGGGACCTCACTTAGCCTACCTCCACTTGTCCCACGACTACTCCTATAACTCTTCACAACATAACGGATTTCCTGTCAGCTCAGGTGCCTGCCCTGCCTCAACAGCCACTGTCCCTCAGAATCACTTCTGTGCCTCCTTGGAGGACCTTTTCATATCTTTTTCTCAACTTTTCCCAGAATTGTACTGCTTTCCTGGGGCCCCAGGGCCTGCAGGAGGCCTTGGTCATATGGAAAGACCCAACCAGAAGTCAAGATTGCTATTTCCACTGTTCAATAACCCAAGGAGGAGGTGGCTCTCAGCCATCAGGCTACCTGGAGCGATCAAGAAGAAAGGACTTTTAGCACAGGGACCACACTTTCAGCCAACGCTAGGGGGAGAGTAATTGGATGGTGGGGTGGGGGGTCAAGTACCTTTTGACCTAGCAGTGGAACTTTGTACCCATCCACTCTCCAAAGATTTCCATTCCAGTTCCAGGTAGAATTTTTGGCACAAGAGAGAAAACTCAGCCAGTATTAAACTTCTTGCTTCCTCTTCAGAGTGAGTCAGGGTAGAGCCTGGAAAGGAAGCACAAGAAAACTGAAGTTCCATCTCAACCAGACTCAGTGTAAAGGTTGGGATTCTCAAGTTTGAATAGGAGCCTTGAAGCATCCTTAGAAGAGCATCCAGAATGAGGCAGAATTGGGAGAGCATGGAGGTCCTCTATGGGGGACATGATGCCTGTGAGGGGGTGGCAGCAATGTAGACAACTTTACCAGGTTCCTTTCAACTCTAACATGCTGTGGCCTGCATGTTAAAAGAATTGTTATGCATCTTTCTTTCTTATCTAATCCATGCCAGGATGAGGGCTAATGGGGATTAGGCATTGTAGTAGTCAGAGTTGGGGCTCAGCTCTGTAAGATCTTCATTTAATTCAGGAAACACTTACTGAATGCCTACTGTGTGTGTCAGGCAGTGTGTGTGCATTGGAGACACAGGGATGAACAAAGCAAGCGGTGTGAGCTGCTGGCAAACCATGGTACCTGCTGGGCTTCATTACAGGTGTCTGCTGTAACATTCATTATAGTGACTGTGGGCCATCTGACACCAGTACTCACCATCAGCAACAGAATCTATGTCTCCTGAAGTTAAGTGACACATCTTGTTTGACCCTGTTACCTCCATCAGTTGGTACAATCAAAATGGGCACTGGGTAATTATCTGCTGAATGAGTGACTGAGTGAGTGAGTGAAAGGCTGTGTAGAAGGGGTATTTCTGTGTACAACAATGTGCAGGTGGTGGCAATGGAACTTAAGAACTGAGCTATTCTATTAAGCCATGGGACTGGCTATTCTGTTTTTGGGGTACTGGGGCTCGAACTCAGGGCCTTCACCTTGAGCCACTCGACCAGCCCTATTTTTGTGAAGGGTTTTTTGAGATAGGGTCTTGTGGAACTATTTGCCTGGGCTGGCTTTGAACTGTGATCCTCCTGATCTCTGCCTCCTCAGTAGCTAGGATAACAGGCATGAGCCACTGGTGCCCGGCGGAACTGGATATTCTTATGCCATGGAACTGACCTCTCATCTTCCTTTCAAGGCTGGCTGTCCAGTGTTTGGAAGAGTGCATGGTAGTCTAAAATACAACCTTTCTCTGAGTCCAGAGCCCAGAGTTAGTGGAGTGAAGATGAGTCCTACTTAGAACCAGCCAGGCTGCATCTGATAACCTCAGGCTAAGATGCTGCCCCTTTTGGGACACAGGACTCAAAAGGCTTTTGGCATGGCCACCTGGTGTGCTGTGTGGGTGGGGCAGTCAGAATATTGCACTGGCGCCAAGGGAGGGGCAGAAGAAGGGCAAAGGAATGGCGAGGCTCATTCCCGTGAGACCCTCTTTTGGATCCATTCCAAATCTTTCTATGTGGGATTATGGCTTTTGACAAGGAAGAAGGTTAGCCATGTTAATATCACCTGCAAGACAGATGTCTTCATTTATCCCTAACTTCAAGGTGTCTCTAAGCTGCTGCCTTGCTCCATCCTCCTTCCCCTCTGTCTTCTGTCTTTGACCCTCCTTCTGCCACAGTGCCACACATCCACCTTCTTCCTTCACTGGTCTGCCTCGGTGGTATCCCTTTTCTCATTTTCTAGTCCCCCTCTCCCCCATTGCCTCTTCTCCCTGAACTCTGTGAAGTACAGGGTCTCACATGGACTTTGGAATCCGGAAGACATGAACCTGAGACTGTTGTTTTTGTTTCTTTGAGACAAAGTCTTCCTATGTAGCCCAGACTGGGCTTGAACTCAAGCTCCTGCTGCCTCAGTGTCCCAAGTGCTGGGAGGTGGGTGCCACCATGCCCGGCTGAAACTGCTTTTTAATTTTGTGACTTTAGCAACTTTCTTTGACTTCTCTAAAAGCACCAGAACTGTGAAGATTTCATGAGAAAATGCTTGTTAGTGATTTTTTTTTGAGGAATGAACTTGTGAGTATATGGCAAACCTGAGTTTTTGCCTGAGTGTGGTGACTTCAAGGTTGGTTCTGTTGGGCCCTTTAATCTGTGGATTCCTAAGCCTTTGAAACTTCTTGAGAGGTAGATACATCTGCATAGTGTGGTCTGCCTGATACGTTTCATGATGGCTGGTACTTTCTACTTAATAATAATAATAATAAATTAGTTTTCAATCTGGCCTACTTTGCTGACTTAGAAGGTTGAAGATATAGTGAGGGCATAAGGAGGTATCTGAATTCCTTTTCCTGGAGACCAAAGAAGCCAAGAACATTGTGTGCTGTCTTTACAATGAGAAGCAATTTTTCCATTAAAAGGCAGAGACTTAGTTTCTAAAGGAAATAGAATGGTCCCCCAAAATGATTCCAGCTAGTCAAACTTAGGGCTCTGGAGAGGGACATCCAATTCAGGAAAACGCTCCAACTTTCATCCCGCAGCTTCACCTCCTCATTGTGAAGTGAATCATCTTCATTTACTCTAAGGGCTGGCCCTTGGGTATTTTGAGCTTCTTTTGTGATGGAGGGTGGCAGCTCTGCTGTGATTTCCCATGGTGCTTTGCTATCTCTCTATTCTAGCTTTCCTCCCTGTCTGGGGAGAAAGTTTCTTTAAAAGTTGCCACAATATATATCTTTCACTCATCCTCCTTTGGTTTAACTCCTATTACTACTGTTTTAAATTTTTTTGTGGGGGAGTCTTCTTTATGTAGCCTAGGCTGACCTCAAACTGGCCATCTTCCTTTCTCAGCCTCCTAAGTGCAGGTGTAAGGAATGCAACAGATTCATATCTTGATGAGTGCAAAGCCAAAACAAGCACAGCCAAGACATCAAAAAAGAGGAGAAAGATTCATTACCTGAAGAAGGTAAAGAGCGTGGGTGTTACTTTCAAAGCAATATCCTCCCCAAACAAAGGAAGTATGGGGACTTTATTTGGGAAGCCTATACACATTTGTATAGGAGAGCACTTTAGGGTGGGCACATGTCTAAGCATGCTAAGTTTAATGTAATATTTGAAGAAGATGGCAAACACATTTTTGGGCACACTTAGTTCAAGGTCATGGAGCACAAGTTTGAAAACTTAAATTGATGCACAGGAATGCCTTTGGGCATGCTCAGCTCTCCTCATAAAGTTTTAGCAGAAAATAAAGGAAAGGACACTTTGAAGGTACATTAATGTAAGAGTTTGCCTCTAAAGATTGACAGTCTTGCTTAGCAGCAATTGCTGGGATTACAGGTGTGCACCACCACACCCAGCTCTGAATGGGTATAATTCTAAACAGGACCACAAGACAAATGCTCTGAAGACGGGAGCAGGATTCTGTAAAGTCATCTGGCTGAGGACCTGGCTTCCCTGGGGGAAATGATGCCCGGGCTGGAATCTGAAGAAGAGTAGTTAACCAGGCAAGGGTGGGGACAGGTTGGAAAGAATTTCAGGCAGAGGACTGAGTTCAAGCTCAAGACCCCATGGTAGCAAGTACTGTAGTTTATTTGAGGAACCATGAGAAGGATGAAGGGCAATGTGGCAGCAGCATGGGCAGCATCAGGAGCAGGGAGAAAGGTAAACAGACCTGGAGCCAAGTCAGGGATCAGGCTCTGTGGGCAGGTCTTTGTAGCATCTGTCTGGGTCCTTGTTACAAAAGCAATCGGAGGCCCACGGCAAGTTTCACATGTAAGGTGCACGGCAAGTTTCACATGTAAGGTGCACGGCAAGTTTCACATGTAAGGTGCATGGCAAGTTTCACATGTAAGGTGCAGAGGGGAGGGTTGGGTAGATGGATGACAGGTTTTTATCT